CTCGTGATCCACCCGCCTCAGCCTCCCAAAGTGTTGGGATTACAGGTGTGAGCCACTGCGCCCGGCCCACACTTGGCATTTTAAGGAGGCTGCTCTGGTTGCTGAATGGAGAGTACATTGTAGAAAGGCAAGCATCAGGGCAGGGAGACCAGGATCCCTAGTGCTGGAATAAGTGGATACTCTAAATATTTGTTCAGTGAATGAATGTCATCTTAAGGGGCCTTTTTATTTTTTCCTATTTTTGGATTAATAGTTGCCAGATTTTCTGCTGAGATGGGTTTTCTTCTCTGACCATATCTTCTTCTGTCCTTGGAGGTCTGGGAGGGGCTGAATGTGGTGAAGACAGGCCGAGTCATGCTCGGGGAGACCAACCCTGCGGACTCCAAGCCTGGGACCATCCGTGGCGACTTCTGCATACAAGTTGGCAGGTGAGATTTTGCTCTTTTTCCCCCTTTTCCAAAATCTGATTTAGTTGCCACAAGGATTTGGGTTTCTGAGGCTGGAGGTAGACATGATACCATATGCAGGTTGATTTTATCGGAGTTTATTGTTTTCCTCCCCCTTAAGTTGGCGTTTGGCTTTGGTTTTTAAAATCACTGTAGTTGTGCCTCCGTTACACGAAGTGTAGAACCTGGTACAACACACTTTGCTGGCCACAGTCTTTCCTGAAGGCTCTTACTGTTTGCACCAGTGTGACCGGGAGGGCTGAATGTGGGGAGGGCATTTTTCACCCTTATATAAATGGCCATTGTAGGCTTTTTCTTTTAACATGGTCTAATGTCCATGGAGCTTCAGCTTTTATGCTGCTGTGGCTGTAGATTTCTGGCAATGGGCACATTTTAATCCTTCTGGTCTTGGTCATGTGACTGTCTCTTTCTCCACCCAGGAACATTATACATGGCAGTGATTCCGTGGAGAGTGCAGAGAAGGAGATCGGCTTGTGGTTTCACCCTGAGGAACTGGTAGATTACATGAGCTGTGCTCAGAACTGGATCTATGAATGACAGGAGAGCAGGCCACAATGCTTTCACATCCATTTCTCCTCCTTCCCACGGGCAGAGGACCAGGCCCTAGGAAATCTAGTTATTTAAAGGAACTTCGTCATAATTTGGAAGGAAGTTCTTGGAGCTGTGAGTGCTCCCTGTACAGTGTTACCATCCCCTACCATCTGATTAAAATGCTTCCTCCCAACTTAGGATTCATTGAGTTGGTTACTTTGTATTGTTGTATTTTTTTTTCTTCTTTTCATGTACACTGAATAACCTGACCTAATAGAGAATGTAAATACTATAAAAATTATTTATATTGAGATCTCATATACACACAGGCATTCTTTGCCTGCCCTTCTTAACCCCTGCGTCCCTTCCACTCTTGGCACGGAGCTACTCAACAGGCATCTATGGAGCATCTGCTACATGGCCAAGACTGGACTAGGTGCAGAGGATTCATCAGAAATAATACATGAGGGCTGGGTGTGCTGGCTTGTGCTTGTGATACCAGCTACTTGGGAGGCTGAGGTGGGAGACTAGCCTGGGTAACAAAGCAAGACCCTGTCTCACTAAAAAAAAAAAAAAAAAAAAATTTCAATTCTCAAATCAAATAGGGGATAGTATGTTTTCCTAAAAGGGCATCAATTTTGGACCTTTCTAGTACATTTTAAATTTTAGTTTGACTTTCAATTTACTTACTATGTGATGTTTTAGAAAAATTGCTTTAGGGCTGGTGTGGTGACTCGCCTGTAATCCCAGCACTTTGGGAGGCTCCATCTCCAAAAAAAGAAAAGAAAACTGCTTTAACGTAAAAGAGGGTAGACTGATGTTCATGCCGAGAGGAGAATATGGTGTCCAAGCTCTAGGAGCTGGCATCTAATGTAGGTTTTCTTGCTGCATCATCCCATAACAGAATAGAAGGGCAAGAGAGTGCAAGAGTGAGAGAGAGCTAGAGAGAGAGCAAGAGGGGGTTGACCTTGATTTTATAACAAACCCACTCCTGAGATAAGACATTAATCTATTCATGAGGGTGAAGCCCTCATGACCTAAAACCTCCCATTAGGCCCCACCTCCCCACATTGTTGCATCGAGGATTAAATTTCCGACATGTGAACTTTTGGGGACACATATAGATCACAGCAGAAGGTAACATGAAATGAATGTGTTGTTGATCAGGCATTTGCCATATGCTGGGCACATATGTTTCCTGATTTAGTCTTCATGCCAGCCTTGAGAAGTACTTCCTCCTGTGTTCGTGGTTGTTAGTGATGAGCAACCTAAGGCTTGAAGAGGTTCAGTGATGTGCCTGATAGCATACAGTGATGCCGCTGGGATTTTAACTTGAGTCTCTCTGACCCCTGAGTGCAGACATTTTCTCCTTTACATTGAATTTCCTATTAAGGATATATGGGTTTGGTGAAGAATGGACGGAAGGATAGCTGCCATGACTCTAAAGGGCTATTTAAATCTGCTGTGGAGGTAGGAAGCAAAGGAGAACTTGAGGTTCCCAACCCCCAAGCCCTTAAAAAAGCCTATGATCTGCTTGGCAGACTAAAGATCATCAGTTAGGGCCTGGTGTGCTGGCTCACACCTGTAATCTCAGCATTTTGGGAGGTCAAAGTGGGCGGATCATCTGAGGTCAGGAGTTCGAGATCAGCCTTGCCAACATGGTGAAACCCCATCTGTACTAAAAATACAAAGTTTAGCTGGGTGTGATGGTGCATGCCTGTAGTCCCAGCTACCAGGGAGGCTGAGGTGGGAGGATGGCTTGAACTTGGGAGGTGGAGGTTGCAGTGAGTGGAGATCGAGCTACTGCACTCTATCCTGGGTAACAGAGCAAGACCCCATCTCAAAAAAAGATAATCAGTTAGTCGTGTAGTGGTGCACACTTGTAGTCCTAGCTACTGAGAACCTGAGGCAAGAGGATTGCTTGATCCTGGGAGTGTGAGGCTGCAGTGAGCTATGATCATGCCGTTGCACTCCAGCCTGGGTGGCAGAGAGACGCTGTCTCAAAACAAACAACAAAACCAACAAAAAGATAATTGGAACCAATTAATAGAATTAAAAGAGTATTCTGGTAAGGGAGGGTCACCTCAGTGTCTGTTAGGAGACTTCACGACAAAAGTCTTCCATTTGGCTAGGAAAGGACAGGGCGAGGGTTGGATCCCTACCACGGAATGATTACGTGGCCATATAATTTTACTTTGGCAAGTGATAACTGGTGGCTGAATGATGGGGCTTTTGGGCTGCCAGTCTCCACATTTGTGCGTGTCTCTAATGTGTGCGATACGCGTCATACAGCGCAGTACTACAGAGCTGGAAAAACCATGGGACCCTGTTAGATTTGAACAAGCATATATGCAGTACAAGAGAGAACACAGCCAAATTGAGTTGAAACTGTTAAGCAGATGGTTTGTTCTCTAGCTAACGTGATTTGTTCCCATATATTAGCCTTGCAGTATGAGAACTTCTAATTCATTTTTTTTTTTTTTTTTTTGAGATGGAGTCTCGCTCTGTCACCCAGGCTGGAGTGCAGTGGTGTGATCTCGGCTCACTGCCAGCTCTGCCTCCTGGGTTCACGCCATTCTCCTGCCTCAGCCTCCTGAGTAGCTGGGACTACAGGCGCCCACTACCACGCCCGGCTAATTTTTCATTTTTCAGCAAAATTATGTATTGCTAGATGTCATTTACTTTTGGGTGATTTGCAGATACCTTTGGGAATCACACAGTCATCACGCTGGGCTTTTATCCTCTGAGTAAACGTGAAGCATCCCTGGGTAATGGCCTGGTTTAGTTTGCTGCTCATCAAATGCCAAGACTTGCTCCCTGGTGTCCTTCTAACATTTTATTTGGGGTTTGCTCTGGGAATGGAAATTTATTGTATTGTTGATTTTCCTGCCTAAAATGAGATGGTTGAGGGCCAGGCATGGTGGCCCTCTGTAACGTCTGTAAGCCCAGCACGTTGGGAGGCTGAGGCTGGAGGATCACTTGAGTCCAGGAGTTTGAGACCAGCCTGGGCAACATAGTAAGACCTTATCTCTACAAATAATTTTTTAAAATTAGCCAGGTATGGCTGGGCGTGGTGGCTTACGCCTGTAGTCCCAGCATTTTGGGAGGCCGAGGCAGGCAGATCACCTGAGGTCAGGAGTTTGAGACCAGCCTGGCCCAACAACCCTGTTTCTACTAAAAATACAAAAATTGGCTGGGCATGGTGGGCGGGCATCTGTAATCCCAGCTACTTGGGAGGCTGAGGCAGGAGAATCACTTGAACCTGGGAGGTGGAGGTTGCAGTAATCAGGATCGCGCCACTGCACTCGAGCCTGGATGACAGAGGGAGACTCTGTCTCAAAATAAATAAATAAATTAAAAAAAATTAGCCAAGTCTGGTAGTGTGTGTCTACAGTCCTACCTATTTGGGAGTCTGAGGCAGGAGGAACACTTGAGCCCAGGAGTTTGAATTTTTTAAAAATGAGATAGCTGAATTTAATTTTAATGTTCTGTGGTTTTATTATCAGTCAATGCCAATAGGGAGACAATTGATATAAAATTGGAGAAGTACTTTTAGTCCTGTCACTGCTCCCTTCCAGTGTGGAGAATGAATTGGGTTATAACAGAATCAGTGAGCCCAACCACTCATGTTTTACATAGCAGGGTGGGTGAGGGGGATTTACATGGATTGTATGTTCTTAGATGGTTTGGGGCCATTCTCATTCTCCGTCCTGTTGAATAGGCCTCTGAAGACCTTCTCAAGGAACACTACATTGACCTGAAGGACCGTCCGTTCTTTGCCGGCCTGGTGAAATACATGCACTCAGGGCCGGTAGTTGCCATGGTGAGTGTGCCTGTGTGAGATACTCCAAGTATGCATTGCTTGTCGTCTGCGCTAGGCTCTCTTCTAGACACTGGGGATACAGTCATGAGTGAGACCAAATAGATATCTGTTTTCATATATCAGCTAATGGTTAGTGATAGGCTTCAGAAATGACATAGGTTAGTGATAGGCCCAGAAATGAATAGGAGTAGCAAGTGATCACTTTAGATTGGATGATCAAAGAATGCAATTTTTAAGCTGCGATCTGAATGACAAGAAGCAACCAGCTATGTACAGAATCACAGTGAAAAACATTTCCAGCCAAGCAAACAGCATGTGCAAAGGTCCCAGGGTGGGAATGAGCTTGGCTCTTTCAAGTATGGGAGGAGAATTGAAATGCCCGAAGCCTGATGGGTGGGAGGGAAGTTGGGATGTGAAGAGTTCAGAGGCATGGGCAGGGGCCTCCTCTCTTAGGGGTGTGTTGACCATGTAGTTCCTGAGTGCTGGGAAGCTATGGGACACTTCACACTTGGCCTTTTTTTTTTTTTTTTTTGAGATGGAGTCTCGCTTTGTCACCCAGGCTGGAGTGCAGTGGCATAATCTCGGCTCACTGCAAGCTCCGCCTCCTGGGTTCACGCCATTCTCCTGCCTCAGCCTCCTGAGTAGCTGGGACTACAGGTGCCCACCACCACGCCCGGCTAATTTTTTTGTATTTTTAGTAGAGACGGGGTTTCACTGTGTTAGCCAGGATGGTCTTGATTTCCTGATCTCGTGATCCACCCGCCTCAGCCTCCCAAAGTGTTGGGATTACAGGTGTGAGCCACTGCGCCCGGCCCACACTTGGCATTTTAAGGAGGCTGCTCTGGTTGCTGAATGGAGAGTACATTGTAGAAAGGCAAGCATCAGGGCAGGGAGACCAGGATCCCTAGTGCTGGAATAAGTGGATACTCTAAATATTTGTTCAGTGAATGAATGTCATCTTAAGGGGCCTTTTTATTTTTTCCTATTTTTGGATTAATAGTTGCCAGATTTTCTGCTGAGATGGGTTTTCTTCTCTGACCATATCTTCTTCTGTCCTTGGAGGTCTGGGAGGGGCTGAATGTGGTGAAGACAGGCCGAGTCATGCTCGGGGAGACCAACCCTGCGGACTCCAAGCCTGGGACCATCCGTGGCGACTTCTGCATACAAGTTGGCAGGTGAGATTTTGCTCTTTTTCCCCCTTTTCCAAAATCTGATTTAGTTGCCACAAGGATTTGGGTTTCTGAGGCTGGAGGTAGACATGATACCATATGCAGGTTGATTTTATCGGAGTTTATTGTTTTCCTCCCCCTTAAGTTGGCGTTTGGCTTTGGTTTTTAAAATCACTGTAGTTGTGCCTCCGTTACACGAAGTGTAGAACCTGGTACAACACACTTTGCTGGCCACAGTCTTTCCTGAAGGCTCTTACTGTTTGCACCAGTGTGACCGGGAGGGCTGAATGTGGGGAGGGCATTTTTCACCCTTATATAAATGGCCATTGTAGGCTTTTTCTTTTAACATGGTCTAATGTCCATGGAGCTTCAGCTTTTATGCTGCTGTGGCTGTAGATTTCTGGCAATGGGCACATTTTAATCCTTCTGGTCTTGGTCATGTGACTGTCTCTTTCTCCACCCAGGAACATTATACATGGCAGTGATTCCGTGGAGAGTGCAGAGAAGGAGATCGGCTTGTGGTTTCACCCTGAGGAACTGGTAGATTACATGAGCTGTGCTCAGAACTGGATCTATGAATGACAGGAGAGCAGGCCACAATGCTTTCACATCCATTTCTCCTCCTTCCCACGGGCAGAGGACCAGGCCCTAGGAAATCTAGTTATTTAAAGGAACTTCGTCATAATTTGGAAGGAAGTTCTTGGAGCTGTGAGTGCTCCCTGTACAGTGTTACCATCCCCTACCATCTGATTAAAATGCTTCCTCCCAACTTAGGATTCATTGAGTTGGTTACTTTGTATTGTTGTATTTTTTTTTCTTCTTTTCATGTACACTGAATAACCTGACCTAATAGAGAATGTAAATACTATAAAAATTATTTATATTGAGATCTCATATACACACAGGCATTCTTTGCCTGCCCTTCTTAACCCCTGCGTCCCTTCCACTCTTGGCACGGAGCTACTCAACAGGCATCTATGGAGCATCTGCTACATGGCCAAGACTGGACTAGGTGCAGAGGATTCATCAGAAATAATACATGAGGGCTGGGTGTGCTGGCTTGTGCTTGTGATACCAGCTACTTGGGAGGCTGAGGTGGGAGACTAGCCTGGGTAACAAAGCAAGACCCTGTCTCACTAAAAAAAAAAAAAAAAAAAATTAGGCTGGGTACAATGACTCATGCCTTTAATTCCAGCTATTCAGGAGGCTGAGGGGAAGAATCGCTAGAGGCCAGTACAAGTCCAGCGTGGGCAACATAGCAAGACACTGACTTTACAAAAAAAAAGAAAAATTAGCTCTGGTGCTGTACACCTCTAGTTCTACCTATGGGGAAGGCATAATAGGCAGGAGGATTGTGCCCGGGAGTTCAAGGCTGCAGTGAACCATGATCATGCTACTGTACTTCAGCCTGGGTGACAGAGTGAGACCAGTCTCTTAAATAAAAACATATCCATCCTGTTCTTGAGAAGCTCTTGGGGATTCAGTGAATGGGGGAGTGTGGGAAGTTGTAATTCCTCCGAAAATCAGAAAAGCTAGGTAGACAGTAGGCCTGGGTCCCTGGGATGGCCTCAAATGAAGCAGGAGGTCTTATAAGTAGCTTTGATTTGTTAGGATATTGATTTGGTTGCTTTAATGGAGACAAGATAGAAATGTACTTCTCTTTCATTTGAAAGTTCAAGTGTGGTCGGGTGCGGTGGCTCATGCCTATAATCCTAGCACTTTGGACAGTGGCTCATGCCTATAATCCCAGCACTTTGGGAGGCCAAGGCAGGAGGATTGCTTGAGCCCAGGAGTTTGAGACTAGCCTGGGGAACAGAGTGAGACCTCATCTCTTCCAAACATTAAAAATTAGTCGGGTGTGGTGGCACATTCCTATAGTCCTAGCTACTCAGGAGGCTGAGGTAGGAGGATTGCTTGAGCCCCAGAGGTTGGAGCAGTGAGCTGTGATCCCACCTCTGTCCTTCAGCCTGGGTGACACAGTGAGACCTGTCTTCAAAAAAAAGCCCTAACTACTCAGTAGAGGTGGTCATAGTGGTAAGGCTCTGATCTTTAAGGTGGTCTACACACACTTGGTTCCTTCTAATCAGTCCTACTTGGATTACCACCCCATGTTCCTGCAAGTTGGGAAAGGAAGTAGAAGAAGTATCCCTTTTAAAGAGACATCTCTGAATTACAACCTCCACTTCCTCTTACATCCCATTGGCTAGAACTTACGCATATGGCTGCATCTAGCCGCAAGGGAAACTGAAAATTTTTTTTTCTTTTGAGACGGGGTCTCACTCTGTCGCCTAGGATGCCGTGCAGTGGTGTGATCACAGCAGCTCACTGCAGCCTCGACCTCTCTGGGCCCAAGTGATCTCCTACCTTAGCCTCTGGAGTAATTGGGACTACAGGCACGTGCCACCACGCCCAGCTAATGTTTGTATTTTCTGTAGAGATGGGGTTTCGTCATGTTTCCCAGGCTGGTCTCCAACTGCTGGGCTCAAGGGATCTGCCTGCCTGGGCCTCCCGAAGTTCTGGGCTTATAGGCGTGGGCCAACGTGCCCAGCCTGAGGGTTTTTCTTTTTTTTTTTTTTTTGAGATGAAGTCTCGCTCTTGTCGCCCAGGCTGGAGTGTAATAGTGCGATCTTGGCTAACTGCAACCTCCGCCTCGTGGGTTCAAGCGATTCTCCTGCCTCAGCCTCCAGAGTAGCTGGGATTACAGGCGTGTGCCACCGTTCCCGGCTAATTTTTGTATTTTTAATAGAGACGGGTTTTCACCATGTTGGTCAGGCTGGTCTTGACCTCAGATGATCCACCTGTCTCAGCCTCCCAAAGTGCTGGGATTACAGGTGTGAGCCACTGCGCCTGCCTGCTGAGGGTTTTCTTATCTTTCCTGTTCATCTGGCTTCGGTAGAGGCAATAGAGGGGAAGGGACTTCTCAGGAGCGGGGAGAAGAGGATAGTTGGGGTGGGCTGCCTTTATGGACAGATGAGGGCGAGATGATTTTTTTTTTTTTTTAAATTTTTGAGATGGACTCTCATTCTGTTGCCCAGGCTGGAGTGCAGTGGCACGATCTCAGTTAACTGCAACATTTGCCTCCTGGGTTCAAGCGATTCTCCTGCCTCAGCCTCCTGAGTAGCTGGGATTAGAGGCATGCGCCACTATGCCCGGCTGATTTTTGTATTTTTAGTGGAGACGGGGTTTCACCATGTTGTTCAGCTTGTCTCGAACACCTGACCTCGTGATCCACCCGCCTCGGCCTCTCAAAGTGCTGGGATTACAGGTGTGAGCCACTCCACCTGGCCTGAATTTCTATTAATATTTTACACAAAGTGTGGCCTGTTTGTTTTGGGGCGTGAGATGAGCATACCAGGACTTGGGGAATGAACATGTGTGTAGTGAAGCTGGAGGGTTACAGCCTCCCCAGTTAAGGACAGTCTTCCCAGGAAGGAAAGAAGAGGTGAAAGCAGAGGGGTGGTCCTGACTGTACCCTAAGTAGCCATCAGTGACCTGACCAAGGGGCAGATAGCTCTCCCCTGGACAGAGAAAAGTCCGTGAAATTTCCAGAGCTGTTTCCACAGTTGACATTTGGTAATCCAAATGAGGGTGTGCTTCAGATTGAAGCCAAAAAATACAGTGCCCCCAAATGAGGGCACATGACAGTCATTGTCAATGTCTGGTGGGCTAATGCTCTGTAACTAGAATTTTGGAAAGCAGATAAGGTGTAACAGAGGCCAGGTTGTCATCTATCTGGCCAGTGACAGGTAATCAGCGCAGTGGTAGGGGCACTCGGGTGATGGCATGATTGCTGTGGTCAGCTCAGAGTCCTGAGGGGAAGCAAGCGGGCGCCCACCATGTCAGGGCAGTACCACTGCTGTGCGGCTGTCAGTCAGTGCTGCAGGCGCTGAGAGGGGCTCGTGACCACCCCAGGGAAGCTGGGCATCACCAAAGGGAGCTTGTTTGCAGTTTACACACTGCAAATAGGAAGTGTGTACAGGTCGATGACAGGCCTGATCTCTATGACACGGTCTAGACTTTCCTCAGGGTCCAGGGGCGCGCCTCATGGTGAACTGGAAAGCTCGACCGCACTTTAGTGCCAGGTGGGCAGGAATCCCTATCTCAGGGTGGGAGGGGGCAGCTGATTGGGGCTGGAAATGTAGGTGGGGAGGCGGCAGCCAGGCAGCAGGGCATCCTACGAAAAGAGCATCTCGCTAAGGAGTCTGAACGCCATCCTGTAGGAGGGGGAGTCATCAAGGCAGGGCAGGGGCAGGACCACATGGCCGTCTCAGGTGCTGAGCGAGGCTCCCAGTTTGCGGGGAGAGGTGAGATCGAGGCCAGCAGAGGTAAGATCGAGGCCCATTGGGAGGCCGAGGCTTAACCAGGGCTCAAGCAGAGGGGAGGGAAGGCTGGATTTCAGAGGTAGGGAGAAGGACTGTGGGTACACGGCGGGGAGGGAGAGTCAAGTCAAGGTTAATGCCACTGCTCGGGCGGATGGTGAAAGCAGCAGATGGCCTTGACGGGGTAGAAGAGAACTCGAGCACAGGAGCAGGTGCTGTGTGTGTGTGTAGGAGCTTTTGGGGTCACGGGAAGTACTGAGAGGTGAGGAGTGGGATTTGGGACGTGCGTAGTTGAACTCATAGGACGTCCAGGTGGAGAAGGAATCAATTCCTGTCTCTGGATTCGTTTCGACCACTGCCCGGCGAGGGCGCGCCCCGGCTGGGCGTGGGCACGGTTCTCGGGCCGCGTCGGGCCAGGCGGGTGGGGCGTTCCTACGGGTTGAGAGGCTAGGTCCTCCAGGGTGTGGCCACGTCGCGCTCCGCCCCCCGTCCCTCCTCAGCTGCCGGCTCCCGGGTGTGGTGGTCGCTCCAGCTCTCTGCTCTCGCAGCGCAGCGCCGCCACCCGGCCCCTCCAGCTTCCCGGTAAGGCGGTGGTGGGGCACATCCCTTGGCGACTCCTTCGGCTCCCTCTTCCGCTTGCGCGGCCGCAGGTGGGCCCGGTCTGTGGGCGCCCCCCGATTTCCCGCAGGTCTCGCGCGGGGTTGGAGCGGGAGATTCCTTTGCCGCTTGCGCCCCGCGGGCCTTCGGACTCCGCAGAATGACGCCGGCCCTGCGCGGGGCGGAAGCACCCGGGAAGCCACGTGTCCCCGCGGCCGCGCGTGGTGGGGGAGGCGGGCCCGGCGGCGCCCACGTGGCCTCCTCCCGGACCCTGACCGCACCTCTCGCCTCGCAGGACCATGGCCAACCTCGAGCGTACCTTCATCGCCATCAAGCCGGACGGCGTGCAGCGCGGCCTGGTGGGCGAGATCATCAAGCGCTTCGAGCAGAAGGGGTTCCGCCTCGTGGCCATGAAGTTCCTCCGGGTAACTCGCCCCCGTCTCCCCTTCCCCCGCTGCAGCCGGCTCGCGGGTGTTTTTCCCTCCCGGCGGCAGTTTGTCCGCGTTTCCTTTCCGAGGCCATTTCGCGGCCGCGAGAATCCCTTTGCCCTCTGCCCCCGCCCACGGCGGCTCTGGCCCGCCGACCATTTCCCGGGGCGGTGGGGACAGACGCCCTTGGGAAGGTGAAGCGCGGGTAGCGTGACTCGCCCTCCGGGTCTGGCTTCCTTCTCGCGGGCCGCCACCTGCCCACCGGCCGCAGGGAGGTAGCAGGGAGCGGAGAAACCCCGTGCCCCAGACCCCCTGCGCCTGCCCACGCGGGTCCACCTAGGCACGGAATGGAGTCTTAGAATGTCCTTTGCTTTAGTCTGAAACTCCGAATTCCAGTGCGGTGCTCCTCCTTTAGCATAGGGTAGGAACTATATTTTCCACATTAAATTTGGGGCACAGATCTGAATCCCTACACTTAGGGATAAGTATCTAAGTACTGAAATTCAACCAGGCTCATCGGTGAAGAGAATGTTCTCAGTTACCATCTGAAATATTTAAAAGGGCATTGTGAGTACCCAGGGGAGTTTAATGTGACCTCTGCCTGGCATGTGACCTGACATATGTACTTCAGTTGCAGCTAAAATTTAATTCCCTAAATCTAGATCTTCAAACCACCTACTTCTTAGGATTACAAAACCCCTAATGTCATTGACAGTATGAGGGTGTCTTTACGATTAGAACAGTCTTGGCCAGGCGCGGGGCTCACGCCTATAATCCCAGCAATTTAGGAGGCCGAGGTGGGTGGAGCCCAGGAGTTGGAGATCAGCCTGAGCCACATAGCAAGCCCCTGTCTCTACAAAAAAGGAAAAAAAAAAGAAAAATTAACTGGGCATGGTTGGGGGCCTCTGTAGTTCCAGCTGTTTGGGAGGCTGAGGTGGGAAAATCACTTGAGCCCTGGAAGTTGAGGCTGCAGTGAGCCATGCATCGCTGCCGAGGTGATGAGAGGGAGACCCTGTCTCCTAAAACAAACCAAAACAACACAGCAAAAAAGAACAGTCTTTCTGTTAAAATGACATTAGTTTCATGGTTTGGATGGGATTTAAAAAATATTTGTGTGAGTATGTATATATTTCCACACACCGCTTATGAACGTGGGCTAGAACATAAAACCGGACTTGCTAATGGGAGGTTCAGAGGATGGGATTGGAGTCTTTCCAGCTTAGCTCCTAACTGGCGCGTCCTCTCCAATGCCAGGCCTCTGAGGAACACCTGAAGCAGCACTACGTTGACCTGAAAGACCGCCCGTTCTTCCCCGGGCTGGTGAAGTACATGAACTCGGGGCCGGTTGTGGCCATGGTGAGTGGTTGTGGGGAATGAGGGAAAATGGGGAAAAAGTGCTCGGTGTTCTTTTTTAGACATCTCCCTCAGCTAAATTATTTTATGAATGGAACCTGCTGAAGTTAGTTAACTGAGCAACTAGGAGCTTGGGAGGAGAAAGCAAATCAGACCTTAGAAATGGGAAGGATGTTAGCTGGGTGTGGTGGTGCACGGCTGTAGTCCCAGCTACTCAGGAGGCTGAGGCAGGAGAATTGCTTGAACCGGGGAGGCGGAGGTTGCAGTGAGCTGAGATCGTGCCACTGCACTCCAGCCTGGGCAACAGAGCGAGACTCTGTCTCAACAAAGGAAAAAAAAAAAAAAAAAGATAAGGGAAGGATGTTTTCAGGTAAATTTTTCGAGGGTTAAATAGAATCTCACTGCCTACAAGAATGGTAAATTTCCGGGCCAGGCTCCGTGGCTCATGCCTGTAATCCCAGCACTTTGGGAGGCTGAGGTGGGTGGATCACCTGAGGCCAGGAGTTAATCCCAGTTAGGAGGCCAGTTACTCAGGAGGCTGAGGCAGGAGAATCACTTGAACCTGGGAGGCAGAGGTTGCAGTGAGCCGAGATCGCCACTGCACCCCAGCCTGGGTGACAGCAAGACTCTATCTCAAAAAAAAAAAAAAAGTATTAAATTTCTTGTTTGACAAGTGTTCTAGACCTTAATGTTTCCTAGATTAAAAAATTTTTCCTATTTTCTCATGAAAAATTCAAATGTAAGTATTTAAGAAGTTCTCAAATCCTATCTCATATCTTCTGGATGGTGCTAATGTCCAATTGGGAGTGGAAAGAATAGGAGAGAGTAAAATAGGGAGGCAGTGAAATTGTTGAGAAAGTAGACCTATTTCCTGTTCCCCTTTTTCTTCCTTCTGCTCTTCCCTGGAATCCTGACCCTTGCATGTTAGTCTTTCTTTTCCCTGTTCTTTTTTTTTTTTTTTTTTTTTTTTTTTTTGAGACGGAGTCTCGCTGTGTCGCCCAAGCTGGAGTGCAGTGGCGCGATCCTGGCTCACTGCAAGCTCCGCCTCCTGGGTTCACGCCATTCTCCTGCCTCAGCCTCCCGAGTAGCTGGAACTACAGGCGCCCGCCACCGCGCCCGGCTCATTTTTTGTATTTTTAGTAGAGACGGGGTTTCACCATGGTCTCGATCTCCTGACCTTGTGATCCGCCCGCCTCGGCCTCCCAAAGTGCTGGGATTACAGGCGTGAGCCACCGCGCCCGGCTCTTTTCCCTGTTCTAGCAGTCTTCTGGGATGCCCTTCCCACTAACCCTATTCCAGACGGGCCATTTTCTCCTTTCTTAACTAGTTTTTCTGTGTTGATGGCTGCATAAGGATTCTTCAACATTGTTTATCTCTGTCTCAGCTAAACTGGGAAGTCCCCAAGTTGGGCAGACCTTTCTTTGAATCCTAGCAATACATTTGGAATGGAGTTTTTAGGTAGGCCCCTACTGTCTGCTGGGGTTAGCTGATAATCATGTCACTGGTTGGTCTCATTGATGTGTCCTGTCAGGTAGGAGTAAATGTTAGACACTACCTGTCCTGAGTGGCAGATCTGATTATAAATCCATTTTCACACTTCTGAGGTCTGGGAGGGGCTGAACGTGGTGAAGACAGGCCGAGTGATGCTTGGGGAGACCAATCCAGCAGATTCTAAGCCAGGCACCATTCGTGGGGACTTCTGCATTCAGGTTGGCAGGTAAGTCCGGGGACAGGAGGGTGGATGACTTTTATGCAACACCATTTAAAGCAGACATCAGGTGCATCCTACTTTCAGAAGAATCTGTGAATTTTTTTTTTTTTTTTTTTCTCGAGACGGACTCTCCCTCTGTCGCCCAGGCTGGAGTGCAGTAGTGTCATCTCAGCTCACTGCAACCTCCCAGGTTTAGGCGATCCTCCTGCCTCAACCTCCCAAATAGCTGGGATTACAGGTGCATGCCACCACGCCCAGCTAATTTTTGTATTTTTAGTAGAGACAGGGTTTCACCACGTTGGCTAGGCTAGTTTCGAACTCCTGACCTCAGGTGATCCGCCTGTCTTGGCCTCCCAAGGTGCTGGGATTACAGACATGAGCCACCGCACTTGGCCTGAATTTTTTAAATTAGTTGGTGATTATCATTGTATAAAAACTTTCAGGCTGGGTATATCATTGTATAAAAGCTCAGGCCATGCCTGGCCCAAACTCTTAAATTAGGTGGTGATTATCATTGTATAAAAGCTTTCAGGCCACACTTATGCCTGTAATCCCAGCACTTTGGGAGGCCGAGGTGGGTGTATGACCTGAGATCAGGAGTTTGAGACCAGCCTGGAGCCTGGCTAACATGAACCCTGTCTCTACTAAAAATAAAAAATTAGGCAAGCATGGTGGTACATGCTTGTAATCCTAGCTACTCAGGAGGCTGAGGTGAAGAATTGCTTGAACCCGGGAGTTGGAAGCTGCATTGAGCTAAGATCTTGCCACTGCACTCCAGCCTGGGCAACAAGAGCGAAACTGTGTCTCAAAAAACAAAACAAAACAAAACAGCTTTCACACATAGCTTCTTCCCTAGGTTACTTAATTTTAAGCGAGACAACAAGGGGGCCGTATGTGGTAGTTCCTGTGTAGCACAGCAGAAAATGCTAGGTGTGGAGAAGGGAAGCGTTCTAGCCATATCCATGAGTACTTTGTCCATAGGTGTGACATTTAACCTTGTGATTTCCCTCACCTCTACACAGTCTGTTCAAAACCTTTACAAACTTGTGAGGTTCAAGTGGAATAAAGGGATTGTTATTAATAAGCAGTGTTATGTCATGGTTGGGCTTTGCAAATCAGTATTATAAGAAAATGCAGCAGAGCTGGCCTATGATAACGCATACATCATATCTAGTTGGGATGTTGATCTGGAGTGGGTTTGAATATTACTGTAGTTTCCAAAATTTGAGGAGGAGTGTTTTATGTCATCAGCAATCTTGGGGTACAAACACTCTTTTGATGGGGAGGCCAGACTTGGAAGTGTAATACAGTTGAAACAAGGAATGTTTTGAATCAAGCACCTTTACAGTTGTATAGCTGCTTTTAAAAGGAAGTGCTTTGGGGGTATAAATTGGTCTGCTGCTTCAAGTGGCAATATGGCTGAAAAAGTCTGGAGTGGCTATCCGTTGCGGTACCCATTAAACAGACTTTTGCACTTTAAAACATGGCAACTAGTAATTGTTTTCTTTCTTAGGAACGTCATTCATGGCAGTGACTCAGTAAAAAGTGCTGAAAAAGAAATCAGCCTATGGTTTAAGCCTGAAGAACTGGTTGACTACAAGTCTTGTGCTCATGACTGGGTCTATGAATAAGAGGTGGACATAGCAGCAGTCTCCTTCAGCACGGCGTGGTGTGTCCCTGGACACAGCTCTTCATTCCACTGACTTAGAGGCAACAGGATTGATCATTCTTTTATAGAGCATGTTTGCCAATAAAGTTTTTGGAAGCTGGATACTGTCTCCTTGTGCTTATTTGATACTGAGCTGAAAGAAGTGACTTGGTTCCCTGGCTGTAGTAGCATTATCTACATCTAAATCCTGCTTGTCAAAGAATGATCTATCTGATCCTGACGGAGTTTCGCTCTTGTTGCTCAGGCTGGAGTGCAGTGGCATGATCTTGGCTCACCGCAACCTTCGCCTCCTGGGTTCAAGCGATTCTCCTGTCTGAGCCTCCTGAGTAGCTGGGATTACAGACATGCACCACCATACCTTGCTAATTTTGTATTTTTAGTAGAGACGGGATTTCTCCATGTTGGTCAGGCTGGTCTTGAACTCCCAATCTCAGGGGATCTGCCTACCTTGGCCTCCTAAAGTGCTGGGATTACAGGTGTGAGCCACCGCGCATGGCCTATTTATTTATTTATTTGAGACAGAGTCTCGCTTTGTCGCCCAGGCTGGAGTGCAGTGGTGTGATCTCAGCTCACTGCAACCTTCACCTCCTGGGCTGAAGCCTAGTTGGTCAAGTGGTTCTTGAGCCTCAGCCTCCCGAGTAGCTGGGATTACAAGTGTGAGCCACTGCACCTGGCCACCTGTAAGAAAGATTTCTTGAAACTTGGAGTGAAACGTACAGACTAGGCAAATACTCTAGATTTATATATCTGCTGATTACAGATTGGGCAAGTTACTTATTAGGAAGTGGAAGCCTAAAGACATCTGTGAAATGGGCATGCCTACCACTGTAATGCAAGATTAATGAAATTATGTATATGCAGCTAACCTAGTGCTTGGCCTATAGTTGGTACATATTTCTGCAACCCTAGCAACCCTATGCCTTTATTTTTTTCCCTGGGATGAGATATCTATTCCTGCTGGTTTCCTGGGCCAGATGCAGTGAGTGGTTACTACAGGCATATTCCCTGCTTTTGAGGTTAATTTTGCTGGATTGAAACAGTTGTAAAATGTTGTTAATAGCACCTGTCAATACAAATCATTTGTAGCACTATCACCTGGAATCAATTATAAATGTACATTTCCTATAAAAAAATGGTAAAAGCTAAATGTCACTCCTATATATGACAATCCTATGCTTTTTTTTTTTTTTAGATGGAGTCTCGCTCTGTTACCCAGGCTAGAGTGCAGTGGCCCAATTTTGGCTCACTGCAACCTCTGCCTTCCTGGTTCAAGCAATTCTCTGCCTCAGCCTCCCAAGTAGCTGGGTTTACAGGTGCCTGCCAGCACGCCTGGCTAATTTTTGTATTATTATTATTATTATTTTTTTGAGACAGAGTCTCGCTCTGTCACCCAGGCTGGAGTGCAGTGACACGATCTTGGCTCACTGCAAACTCTGCCTCCTGGGTTCACGCCATTCTCCTGCCTCAGCCTCCTGAGTTGCTGGGACTAGAGGCGCCTGCTACCACGCCCGGCTAATTTTTTGTATTTTTAGTAGAGATGGGGTTTCACCGTGTTAGCCAGGATGGTCTCGATCTCCTGACCTCATGATCCACCCGCCTTGGCCTCCCAAAGTGCTGGGAATATAGGTGTGAGCCACCGCGCCCGGCCTAATTTTTGTGTTTTTAGTAGAGACAGGTTTCACCATCTTGGCTAGGCTGGTCTTCAACTCCTGACCTTGTGATCTACCTGCCTCGGCTTCCCAAAGTGTTGGGATTACAGGCGTGAGCCACTGCGCCCGACCATTCTTCTATGCTTTTTATGTATGCTGCTATAGTAAATATAAGACAATGACATTGTGACGTAAGTACATATTTGGTCTCTGCCCTTAGTTCCTGGCACGCAGCTCCTAAAACCCTTGTAATTTCAAATGCTAGGTTTCTTATATGCTAATGAGATGACCAGTGGCTGTGGGTGCTCCTGGATAGCCTCCCTACAACCTCCAAGAAGAGGAGAGGGGCTAAAGTTCAATTGCTCACCAGTGGCCAATTATGCCATCAATCATGCCTATGTAATGAAGCCTCCGTAAAACCCCAGAATAGGGTTTGGGGAGCTTCCAGATTGCTGAGGTGCTTGGAGGGTGGGACACTCTGAGAGTGTAGCTCCATGCCATTTTCCATATACCCTGCCCCATGCATCTGGTCTATCTATATCCCTTATTTTTTAGACATGGGGGTTTTGCTATGTTGTCCAGGCTAAGCCTTGAACTCCCGGCTCAAGCAGTCCCCCCCACTCACCCTCGTGAGTACCTGGGATCACAGATGCACACCACTGTGCCCAGCTATATCCTTTATTAAACCAATACATGTAAGTAGTGGTTCCCTGAGTTCTATGATCCTCTAGCAAATTAACTCAATCTAAGAAGGGGGTCATGGGAACCCTTAGTTTATAGCCAATTGGTCAGAAGAACAAAGTCATAAGCTGGGGCTTGCAATTGGCATTTGAAATACGGGCAGTCTTGGGGGCCAGAGTCCTTAACCTGTGGGATCTCACTTCAGGTAGAAAGCATCAGAATTGTAGGAGAGGACCCCCAGCTGGTGTCTGGTGGAGAGCTGCTCAGTGTGAAGGGAAACAGCCCCCTTACATCTAGTGTCAGAAGTGTTGAGGTCACTGACAGAGTAGAGAGAAAACAGCTCAATTTTCCTTTGGAATGAAGTAAGAAATACTTTTAATGCTTTAGTACAAAAAAGAAAGTGTAAAGATTCTAGTTTCCAGTCAACAATTGGTAATAAGTGTAACATTTTAAAAATCATTCCTCAATTTCAAATATAATTCATATATGTTTATATATGCTACATTCTCATCACAGTTAAGCAGAAGTTTAATATAAACATCTTAAGAGTCTGGGGCAGGGCCTGAGCACCTGCATTTCACTGTGCTCCCTGGTGACACTTACGCATGCTGGTGGAGGTACCTGGGTTAGGAGCAGCAGCAAAGCATGGGCTTACTCTGCCAGGGCTGTTCAAAGAACTTTATATACATGCATTCATTGCATCTTCATGACTCTTGGGAGGCTGGCACCAGTATCCCCATTTTACAATGGAGGAAACTGAGCCAAGTTACATAACTAGCCAGTGGAGGAGGAGCCAGTTTCCAACCCGAGCGCTGTCTTCAGACTCCATGCTCACGGCCACTATGCTTTACTGCCTTTTTTTTTTTTTTTTGGAGACGGAGTCTTGCACTGTTGCCTGGGCTGGAGTGCAGTGGTGTGACCTCGGCTCACTGCAACCTCTGCCTCCCAGATTCAAGTTATTCACCGCCTTAGCCTCCTGAGTAGCAGGGATTACAGGCACCCGCTACCACGCCCGGCTAATTTTTTTGTATTTTTAGTAAAGACGGAGTTTCACTATGTTGGCCAGGCTGGTCTTGAACTCCTGACTTTGTGATCCACCCAACTCGGCCTCCCAAAGTGCTGGGATTACAGGTGTAAGCCACCGTGCCTGGCCTTTTTTTTTTTTTTTTAATCTGTCTTTAAATACTTTCCCAAGTGATGTGAGGAAGTGAGTTTGGAGGGTAAGTGACATCAACCTGTAGTGGTGAAAGATAAGTAAGGCTTTGGATGTTAGGACTCAATTTGTTAGAACTGAATGAGAAATACGGAGTAGACTAGGGTGAGATTGAAAGTTACTGCCTCTGGGCCGGGTGCCGTGGCTCACAACTGTAATCCCAGCACTTTGGGAGGCCGAGCCAGGCAGATCCCCTGAAGTCAGGAGTCAAGACCAGCCTGACCAATATGGTGAAACCTTGTCGCTACCAAAAATACAAAATTAGCAGGGCGTGGTGGTGCATGCCTGTAATCCTAGCTATTTGGGAGGCTGAGGCAGGGGAATCACTTGAACCCACGAGGTGGACATTGCAGTGAGCCGAGATCGCGCCACTGCACTCCGGCCCGGGCAACAAGAGCAAAACTCCGTCTCAAAAAAAAAAAAGTACTGCCTCTGGAGTAGGCTTGGTTTAGGTCCTAATCCTGCACCAGCTAGGTGTGTGAAACTATCACCTCATTTATTTATTTGAGAGACAGAGTCTCGGCTCTGTTGCCCAGGCTGGAGAGCAGTGTCTCACTCAGTTCACTGCAGCCTCTGCCTCCTGGGTTCAAGTGATTCTCGTGCTTCAGTCACCCAAGAAGCTGGGACTACAGGTGTGTACAAATACGCGCGGCTAAGTTTTATAGTTTTCGTAGAGATGCTCTTTCACCATGTTGGCCAGGTTGGTCTCAAGCAATCTGCCCACCTTGGCCTCCCAAAGTGTTAGGGTTACAGGCATGAGTCACTGCGCCTGGCTGAAAATGACGTATCATTCAGAACATCTCATGCTTTCAATAAACTTTAAAAAAAAAAAATAGTGAAAGTACATTGTTATTTAAAATGCATTATCTTGGCTGGATGCAGTGGCTCATGCCTGTAATTCCAGCACTTTGGGAGGCCAAGGCAGGAACATCCCTTGAGTTCTTGAGACACTTGTTTCTGGGCATAACTAGTTTCCCAAGAGGCATGTAATGGTTTAAAGAAATATATTTGGCCGGGTGTGGTGCCTCATGCCTGTAATCCCAGCACTTTGGGAGGCTGAGGCGGACAGATCGCGAGGTCACGAGTTCAAG